TTACAACGCCACGGGAGTCATGGCTACCCCCTATTCTAAATTATTGCTCGATTTTCTGACCGGGCGTTCAACCGATTAAATAGGTACACGGAAGATGTCGGCCAGTAGGAGAAGTCGGCCAGTGAAACTTTGTCAACTTGTCAACTAGTTTGTTTTGACTCAAAAAAATTGTTGAGAAAAAAAAACGCAGTCTGAAATGGAACTGTATACGTATGTACTCATCGCATAATTACGCGATTGTTCTACCTCCCATGCTATCACTGAACAATTAAGGTAGAGATGCAGTTTATTTGTGAATTTCAATCTTTCAACCTAAGGGATAGACTATTTGAAATCATGGGGTGGGTGGAAGATTTGTTGAAGAAAAACAAATCGCATGCCCGGAGTTGAAGTGGGGGATATCGGCATATTCAAAAAAATGTACAGACAATCCACCAGGATAAAATTCCAATATTCACACTTTTATAACCACCCCCATGATTTCAAATGGTTGGCTCCTGAATTAAATTGGAGTTGACTCCTTTTGGATGCGAAAAGTATTTCGCCTATAATTTTTTTTTTTTTCATTTTGGTTCGGCCGGGCAACATTCCTAAGACACGATTGCTAGAAGAAATGCTTAGGGCAAACCGTTCTTCTAGCAGCCATACGTAAACATGATTAGATATGATTTTATTCATGTTAAACTCATTAGAGGTCAATTCGCGGGCATCCGGCATTGAGACGCTGTTGCCAATGTATCTCTGTACCCATACTAAATGCTTCAATCCCATTAGACATTAGACCAGCGAGGATTATGTATGTACTTTTTACGTACAAAGTCCGAGTCCCACCGTGAGAAAGGTCACGTGTATATAGTTGGAGGTGATTTAAATATTTATTATGGATAGAAGAAGTTCTGTTGCTGAAAATAGGTCTCATTATCGAACAGAATAACTGATTTGTATGGATTCTGTACATCTGATAGATATGTTTGGGAAATTGAACCCCAATAGGTATAGATTTACATAGAGGAGAGGAGACACAGCAACACGTTTGGATTATTTTTTGGTGTCAGCTACTTTGCAGAAATTTGTTAAGTCTAGTGAAATTATCCCATAATGTAATAACACTTGAGCTTGAAACCTCCGAAAGTAAGCGGGGGGGGCAGGATTCTGGAAATTGAATTGTGCACTTTTGGAGGAGCATGAGTATACAGAAATGATGAAATTATTAATTACGAATACATTAAAAGATAATAATTATTTAGATGACCAGACTAAGTTTGAATTTCTAAAATACAAAATTAGAGATACTATAGATATTTTTTTCTAAAAAGAGAGCAAAAGAAAATAGAGATAAGGAAAAAGAGTTGTACATTGAATTAAAAAAAACTGGAACAGAAAATAGACGACAATTTGAATGACGAAACTTTAATGAAATATGAAATAATAAAGAAAGAATTGGAGGACATTACAGATAAAAAAGTAGATCTCGAGTGAAATGGTATCAAGTAGGAGAGAAAAGTACAAAGTATTTTTAATCTTGAAAAAAATAACTAAACGAAAAAAGTTATAAATGAGTTGTGAGTAGATAAAAAAATAATATTAACGAAATTTTAAAAGAGATTAGACTATATTATGCAAATCTGTACAACTCAACAAATCCAGATCCAATTCTTGAAGCTGATGACTGTTTCGGTTTTTTCAAAAAAAAAATACCTTGTGTAGAAAAAGGTAAAATAAATATGACTGAAGGCTTGCTTAGTAAGGAAGAAATTCACTCTGCTCTTAAAAAATCCCCCAAAATAAATCCCCAGGTAGTGACAGGTTATTGCCAAAAGACTTGAAGAAATTTTACCATCATTAATCCATGAAGATCAATCTGCTTTCATTCCAGGACGAAAAATAATTGATAATATAAGATTAATCACAGATATAATAGATTATTGTGAAAGTAGAGAAAACCCAGGGGTGGTTCTCTTCATCGATTTTTAGATAAAGCACTTAGTCTATTTGGATTTGTAAATTCTCTTAAAAAAATGGGTATCAGTGTTTTATAATAATAATTGAAAGTTGTGTACTAAATAAAGGGTTCTCAACCAGGTGGTTTGGTCTAACAGGGGGTATCGGACAAGGCTGCCCACTGTTCACAGCATTATTTGGTATTGCGATAGAACTATTAGCGATAGTGGTAAGATCATGTGATCAGCTTCAGGTAATTCAATTGCCATGTGGTTATAATAACAACAATTCTTGTTTTGCTGACGATACTACTCTTACTTTTGGAAATAATAATTCAGTTAAAGTTTCTCCTAATATACTGAAACATTTCCACAGGTTCTCTGGTTTAGAGATTAATCTTGATAAAACTGAGCTTCTATTACTTGGTAAATTAAAAACACATTGGCTGTCAATTGAACGATTACACCCCACAGCCAATTAGGTATTTGGGAATATTTTTAGGACATAATAAAAAGGAAAACTTCAAATTCATTTTTTATCAAAAAATACCAAAAATTAGTAGTAAATTGGATATTTGGAAGTCACGAAATTTTTCCATAAAAAGGAAGATAATACTTGTAAAATCCTTTGGAACACCAAATTTATTGTATTCTATGAATGCAATTTCTATTCCAGAACCAGGAATAGCAGAAGCGGCGTCAAAACTTTTTAATTTTATTTGGGGTGGCAAGAAACATCATATTATTGGTGATAGAAGTCAAGGTGGACTACAAATGACTGACTTAAAACTTCTAAACAAGGCTTTTAAATTAGCATGGGAAATACGTATTATCGAAACAAAAGCAGTATGGGGATTAATAGCAAAAAGTTATTTTTGTAAGTTTGGGGGTTTAAAGTTTCTTTTTTCTTGTAATTATGAGGTTGTTAAATTGCACCACAAATTACCAGGTATTTATAGAGATATACTAAAATTTTGGTCACAGTTAAAAGCTTATAAACTACCCAGTAATCTCAAAAAATAATATCAGAAATATTATGGAATATTAAGAATATTTAGATCAATGACCATTCAGTATGTTATAAATCAGATGGCTAAATGAAGGGATAAAGTATGTAAGTGATTTGTTGACAGAGGATGGTAAATTTGTGTCTTTTCCTTGTTTTATCACAAAATATGGCAATATCACCAATTTTTTGACTTATAGGGGAATTATTGAAGCTATACCAAAAATATGGAAGAATGTTATATGTCAGGAGAACTGTTCTTTAACGATTGATAATAGAGGCATATCTAGAAATTATGTCAATATTGGAAAAGAAAAAAACAAAAGATTTTTATTTATTATTAGTGAAGAAGAAATTTGAAACTCCAACGTCTTTGATCAAATTTAAGGGGGAAAAAATATGCAGAGGAAATACAGGAAAATGATTTGAAAAAAATGTGGGTATTGCCATATAAAGTAACAGTAGAAGAAAAACTAAGAATATTTCAATTTAGAATTCTCCATCGTATTTTGGCAACAAATTGTTATTTGTATACTATTAAGATTAGAAATGATAACAAGTGCGACCGCATTTGTCAGCAAACGGAAACTATAAAACATTTATTTTGGCAATTTAGGGTAGCCCAACAGTTTTGGAAAAATTTCTAAGACTTTTAGAGATTGCGAATGGGTGACAGTATACCTATGACATGTAAAACAGTTATTTTGGACAAATGACATATTGAACCATTTTATTAGGGAAGTACTTGTTGTATTCAAGCCGTTACTTATCCTTTAAAGCAAATTTGTATTTATTTTTTATTAGAAAGGTTAGAGACGTGAACAGACAACATTGTCACAAATATACAACAAAAAGTGGAGTAATTTTGGAGTATAGCAATTGTCATTCTTTATTTTGTTTTTTCTTTGGGGGTGGGAGTAAACTTGGATTGTGTTCCCGTTTTGAACCTGAACGTTCTCTTTGAACTTGGGCCTTCTTACCTTTGAACTGTACGTCACGTGTACGACCATGTATGCAAATGAAGGAAAGTATAGAACCATAGCTAAGCCTCGAGGGATAATCCCAAATACATTACGATACTGCGAATAACTATTTTATTTAAGCCTAATTTCACAACAAATTTGCTTTCTGGATTAAACTTACAATTGATAACAAAAGATAGATTAACATTCTAAACAACATAAACAATAGTGTCCCATGATTCCTTGGTGCAATCCCTGGGTTTGACAGGGAGGCTAAGAGGTTAAAACTACTAGCTAACCTCCAGTGATCTGAATCATTCAGTGACTCCGGATGTCAGTGTCTGCGAACAATTATTTTTATATCATGATGATGGATAATTCTTGATTTGTCATGTTGGTTTGTCAAATGATGTAATTTTAAACTTACTATTGTAATATTGTATCTTGAGACGAACAATATTTAAATCATAGTAAGAAAAAAAAACGTTGGGTTGCAGTCAAAACCAGTATATTTTGATAAAATACAAATAAAACTCAAATACATGCGTTCTAGATTTCCCTGTACGTAAAGGCAGTTAAAAACTTTCAGCATTTCGTCGAACGAATACTTTCATGTTTGCAGCCAAATACATAAAACATATCCTAAAATAAAATATTAATCACCACGTAATTCTTGGGTTGCACGTGACGTCACAGAATTTACATCCAAAACAAAGTTTAAATAATTTATAAATGTTATCGACATTTCATTTTACTTATTTCAAACAGTACAAGTGACGATATCGTTGTGGTCTGTCGTGATTACATAAACTGTAGGACTTTATGGTAGAAATTAGTTAAGAATAATTAGCGTAATTAACATAATTATAGTGAAATGTCAAAGCTTCCCCATGTTCTTTATTTGTGATAAACTAATATTTATCTTTTTGAAAAGATTAAATAGGATATTTAATATACATTTGAGCAAAAACATTGATAATTTCCTCATTTTTGTGTATACTGACAGATTATTCTATTATAATCTTTCAGCAATAATAAAAAACGGAGGTCATTGACCTAATTTTTGAGAAAATCGTATGTTTATATTACACAGTTAATTCACATTCACGGCTCTATGAGGAAACAAAAGTAAAACGTGCTCCTATCAAATATTCAAGCATTGTCATTTTTTTTAAACTTGGGGTAATGATGGAGATTGTAGAAGAACAACTTTTTCTACAATAAAAATAATGGGTCAACTTAGTTCTTTTATTTTTATTTTTTATATTATTATGTTATGTGTCTTTAACGTTTTTTTTTTGTTTTTTTTTTTTTAGTGCGAAAATGTAGTCTGCAGGCTGTATGGATTTTTTTACATGATTTATCGTTAAAAAAAATGTTGTCCTGGCAACAAACATGGAGTCACAGCGATTTTCTCTAAATTACATGACGAACACCATCTTCAACTCCGGAAAACATAATAGTGTACCGACTCAAAATCTGCCACTCAAACCAAAGATTACCCAAACCATATATAATTTAAAGAATGCATATTTAATGTTATTCTGTCAACAAACATGACTTTGTGGTGTTCGTTAGATGAAAATTAAAAACGGCAGGAAGTCGTAGCAACTTTCTTGAGAAAAAATAGTGACGTATCCTCCTCAAAATGAACCGCCCAAACCAAAGTTTCTATGCCCAAACCATTTATAGTAGAGGAGGAGAGTCTAGTATTTCCAAATGCATTCAGCCCAGCAAAAATTTATGCCCTGTTTATCCAAATGAAATGTGACCTACACCATGCGTGAATGCAGTACATGTGTGTGTGAGTTGTGTGCATTCCGGAATGTGCTGTTATTGCTCTTATAGATTTTCATATTAAAATTAATGTTATCACATACCTCCGCCTCGTAACTGAAGTGCGCCCTCACACCAAACCTATAAGAACTCTCAGCAAGTCATCACAATGTAAAAGTGTTGTGTCTACGATATTTGTTTGTGCTACTAATTATAAAGTGTGGCGCTTGCAAGATTGTGTTCTGCTGAGTGTGGCATCACATGACAATGGGTCACATGACTATTAAGAGTGGTTTAAACACATGAATGCAGATCAGTGAACATTCTGGTATTTGCAAAGAATGTTGAGATATGCACTCAAATATCAAAAACTAGTAAACTCCAATAATATATTTTATTAACCACTATCACACAAAGAATTTACAATGATGAAAAGTAGCAACAATATACAGCAGAATGTTAAACTAACTCTGAAAAAGACATTTTTTTTGCATATTCAAGTGAAAATCACAGCAATATAGTGGTACTCCTTTCATTAAAAGTAATTATCAGAAACAAACGTGGGTCTTTTTGTACATACAATTCAGTACCAGTAGCAAAAACAACATTTATTTTATGCAATAGTTTTTGGCATTTTAAAATCTCAATACATGGCATATATACTAATTTTTTTGTAGGTTGTTTTATCCACAAAACTCTACGCATTAGTCACACCTTACAATAACCTTTCAATAATGATCCAGAGTTTTGTGTATCGTACAACTAAGACAAACATAATTTTCAACATTGTAGCATTTGTAAGCTCTGTTATGTACATGCATCACTTCATCACTGCCGCTGTCATCATCTTCTGTTTATCAGGTTTGAAAATAGACCACAAATTCTGACATTGAATGCTTCAGACATGATTCAATCATCAGATGTAACTAATTTTACCAGTAAGAGATAATATTCCTAAACACAATAAACATGAGAACCACTGCTGAATTTAATTTTTTTTTTTAACAAGTAATAATTTTTCTTTTGTATTCACAAACTGAAACACATACTTCCAGTCCCCCCTTCCCACTTCTCTCCATTTTCAAAATAAAATTGATAACAATGGGCACTTGTATATGAAATAGTTTTTAAATATTTCTCTCATCTTAGTTCAGATGACAATTTGTTATTTTGAGAATATTAAGTACCCATAATGCATTATACCTCCCGTTTTCGGACTGCCAGAAAATTTACATTGATGATATAACTTATGCCTTTGCTTTCTTCTTTCGGGAACGCACTTTGTGTTTCTTGGTTTTAGAATCAACGATTTGTTGAGCCTGCTTTTTAAGCTGTATCCTCGTGATGACATCTTCATCATCCCCACTGTCGTCATCTTCTGAAGAAGAAAAAAACATTGTTCGAATTACAGCAAGATGAATTTTTTTTACTGTTTAAAAATGTTGTTACAATTAAAATTAATAAGTAGATTCAAACTTATTAAAAAATACTCAAGCCCAATTTATACTTTACAAGGCTGACTGATAATCGGAAAAATTCTAAAGAAATGAAAACAAATTTTACGAAGCATAAATATCAAAACTAATTATTAAGATGACATTAATTTCATACATTGCTAGAAAGACTCGGATGCACTCCGATTGAAACAATCAAAAGAATATTTTGACTAGTACAATCATACTTTTGGTTAAACCTAAAAAGCAGAATTATAGCTACAGATCAGATGTGAAATGCATGTTTAAAGAAGCTAAATATGAGATGTTATTTAAAGCGCGGTAGTCATCACGCTGCGCATGTTCGACATTTGTGTTGATAAACATTGATATTCCCCACAATCCAGTGTGCTTTTTTGGGCGCGACTTGTACTGATTACTGCC